AGTCGCCATTCCCGGATCTCGGGACTGGCGGAGACGGCGGGGGGGGGGAGGGGCACACACCCGCGCCCACTGCAAGCGATTAGTCTCTAGACGCCCGATCAATTGTAAACGGCCATCGCTGACTTAACATTTCCGACAGTTTCTCCACTCGTGTGCATGCTGGGGGCCACGCACGAGGGGAAGGACGTCTTAAGACGCCCTTCCGTTTGGCCGTTCAGGAACGGCCATGGACGGTAGGTGGTTAAAGAACTTCCCGTATAAATGCTAAATACATTTTTGTTACCTGCTGATGGTAAATACACCTTTTTATAGGCAGTTCAAGTGTTGGCATATAACTTATAAATACATAGGGAAATATTTTATTAAAGGGCTGTTCAATCAAATCAGGTGGGAGAGTAGAAGTATTGGCCATAGCAACACCATTCCAACTGACCGGTAAGAAAATAAATAACCAAAGGATGCAATTGTTTCCTGTTAGTAGAAAACCTCCTACTGAGACGCATCAAATATTTTTTCACACACACACCAGCAACATTAAATAGGCTAAGCTACAAACAGCCAGGAATACAATGTGGAGCATGTCACCTGGAGCCTGTATTCTCTTCTCATAGCAGGAGTCAATGTATGCTAATGGAAATGATTTGCATACAGACAGGGTACAATCTGGTGTTTAAAGATATTCATATGGAATCACAATAGACAAATGTCATCTAAAATGGGGGAATCCTTCCTTTTTAAAGTAGACCTAAAACATGAGCTGCCGTCTGACATTGCTCCACAAATGTTTGTTGCCTGTATGATAGGCTGAGAATCTTGCCTCACAATTCTAGTTTAGACAGTTATGCAGAGAAGCACTCTTGGGGCCGATTCCCACCAGCTGCTGCACAAAACGCACTGTGGCTGGTGTGCGGTGCCCAAAAGTGCCGATGTGCCTATCCCACCATTTCGCAGTATGTTAATAATAATATTATATATATCTCATGCAGATATTGGTTCCATATTAAAGCAACTCTGTATTATATTACATTCCTTTTGTGTGTGTGGTTTTTTTTATTTTTTTTTATTTATGGTTTACCACAAAAATGTTGGTATTTTATGTGCACTAAAATGAGTGTTTTGTTTTTTTTTCTATTTATCCAGTATGTCTTTAATCGGTGTTACTGTTTGCTGATTGGGGAGGACACTGAACAGAATTGTTATTTGGGGGGGGGGGGGGGGCAGTATTCACTTTTGATGTACTTCCCACCAAAGTTCTTCTTTCACGCTTAATCTCCTTTTTATGTTTTCTTAGGTTTTTTATGCTGCCAGAGATGCCCAGGTTTCAGTTGCCGTATTCCTGCAGCTGCTTGGCTTTTTTTCCATAAATTCTTCCCCCATTTGGGCTTCCTTTCTGGGTAAATGCCAAGGTCTCATTGATGTCCCATTTAAAGGGAAAGGTATCGCCAATGGAGATGTTAATGGAGCATCAAGGCAGAAGAAAGAAGGCATGGGTGAACAATCTAGTCAGAACACCCAAGGAAGAGATCCTCAAAGAAATCGGAAAAAGCCCCTGGGAGTGGGGTACTCAGTGAGGTACTTCACGCTGTGTAATTATACTGTGCCTACTCTTATAAAAAGTAGGCACAGTATATGTAGGTGGACATATGAGTATTTACAATGATACATTGTATCCTTTCAGTGAAATGTATCTAAACATCGGGCTCTCGAGCTGTCAACAAATAGCGGTGAGATGAGTCACTGCTGCCTCTCTGCTATTTTGAGCTGTCAAATACGGGATCGCAAATTGGGTCCTCTATTTGCATGTAACGGCTTCATTCTTTCATTAATGAAAGGAAGAAGCTTTTACAAAAAGCTTAATTATTTCATTAATTAATGCCTCAATACTGAGACATTAATGAATGACTGTTAAATGCTGAGAATCAGCAAATACCGGCATTACAAAGCCTGATATAACTCGTCACGTACAGTGTACGTGGCCAGTCATATAGGCACAAAGTGACAAGACGTACACTGTACGTCTCCCGTCACGAAGGGGTTAAAGGTGGGTGTGGATTTGGTCTGGAGGTATCTTGTCCAGGCTTTTTGGACAAATTTGCAATAAAGCAAATCTGTGCTGAGATGTGGAGGCTGCAGCTGCTAACATCTACTTCTAAAAAGTGCTGGCTTCCTGCCTGTCATTCTAATCTGGCTTTATTACCTGGTCACTGACTTTAGATCATGTATACAGGCTTCACACCCACATACGTGTTGTGGGTCAGTAACCCAAAGTATTGAAAACCCAGATGGCCATCCCCTTTAATTCATAGCATGCATTGTAAGTGAAAGTTAGCAGATTACCTGCAGTTCAGCGTAACCAGTTGCCTTCCAAAATATTTGCTGTTCTAGTCTGCAATTTTTGTGATGTAGAAAATATTGCTTCCAGTATAGGCACAATAAAGGCCCCTAGCCTGCTGATTACCAGTGACTCCACAGCACACAGAGGTCACCCTTCTGTTCTACGCTGTAATATAGTGTTTAGAAAAGTAGAATGCTAGCCCTGTGCAGTGCAGCAGTGTGTTATTGGCTTTGTTTACATTCCCTCTCCTGGCTGATCACCAAGGTACATGGGATCCCAGGAGACCAATATGAAGATCAGTGCAGGTATATTTAAATGTGCATAACTCATTTATTTTGGTGTTCATCTGTCTGGCCTTCAGCTTTAATGTATCCAGCCTAAAAGGAATCAAGCCATCTCTAATCTGTGTAGGAAATGGAACCCTTTTTCTCTTTATATAAAAAAAAAAGACATTTCGGTCTTGCCCAGGGAGCAGCAGGTACAACTCACAGGACTTCATGTGCTGCTATGGCTTTTCCCCCCTTGGACACACGTGCAAGATCTATCCAATAATCAGTCCAAACTAAAGCTTTTCCAGCTATTCATATCTATAATCATAATAACTTTTTTGATTTGCAGGAAATCCCCATTGTACGATAACTGTTTTCTGCATGCTCCAGATGGACAGCCTCTTTGTACCTGTGACAGGAAAAAAGCCCAGTGGTATCTAGATAAAGGCATTGGTGGTAAGTGCCGCCTTTTTTTGAAGCCTTTGGTTTTAAATATAACTTCTAGTGAGTGACACAAGTAGGCTGTCATTGCTGACTTCTGACAATGCTAGCTTTGAGGTCAGTGAATTGAACTGAAACCTATGGCTTAGTTTTGGCAGCCAGGTCACCAGCTTATAGGAGAGGTTGGCATTGGCAGTCGGCTTGTTTGTCCTGGTATCCTTTTCTTTGAGCTTACTCACTCCACTAACATTTTCTGTTTTAGATTTGATAAGCAGTGAGCCGTTTGTAGTGAAGCTGCGCTTTGAGCCTTCTGGTCGCCCTGAAACGAATGCAGACTATTATCTGACGGTGAAAAAGAATATTTGTGTTGTATGTGGCAAAAGGGAGTCTTATATCCGGTGAGTGTGAAGCCTTTGTAGATATGAGGTTGTATGCATTAGGAATGCACTGGTACAGATAATAGTATCGGTGCCGATAGAGTATTTGAGCGAGTACTCTCCCAAATGCTCTGATACTTGCTTCCGATACCGGAACTTCTGGTCAGAGGGAGATCTCCCTCCTGACCAGCAGTGCTGAGGGAGCATGGAGCCACCTTCCTTTCCAATCAGGAAGCTGGGTGGTGGGTCATAACCAGCTTCCTGATTGGCTAGGAAGCCGGCTTCACTTGTTGCTAAGCAGTCTGACTTCCTTACCATCAGGAAGCCGGGCGGCACATAATCACCCGGCTCCTGATTGGAAGCCATGCTGTCTGGCTGGAAAGCTGGTTTCACTTGTTTCTAATCGGGAGGTGGGTTATGACGTGCCGCCAGGGTTCCTGATTGGTCAGGGAGCAAGGCAGCCTCCTGAAGCTGGTGGTCTTTCGCTAGAACACCGGCTTCACAGGCAATCAGGAAGCCGGGCGAGGGGTCATGATCTGCCGCCCGACTTCCTGATAATCGGGGCACAATGCACTGGTACTCAATATAGAAAAACCGTTATCGGTGCATCCCTAGTATGTATATATTATATGCTGTAGGAGTTGTCTAAAGCTATAAACTTCACTTTTGTATTAGCAATGCTGGTCTGCTTCTAGTCCGAGTGGTCACATAGGGGAAATAGGATAAGACCTCTTAACTCAAATTAAGGCTGAGGTAACTCTGTTCTCTGTAAGCTACATGCAGGACACATGTAAGTGCTACCTCTGTGGGTAGGGCTCTTGGCCACAAAGAATAATGGAACTGTCCTGCAAGTGTAATTGTGCCGAGAGGAAAATCTATTTTAGATCTTGATTTTATGCAGACAGACCATTTTGTCTTTAAAGCTCCAACATTCAGAGGGTGCTTCTAGATGCTAGCTGTGGGTTGTGTTTTTTTTTTTAAACTCTGAACAAGAGTCATTTTGTGATTGGGTGAGAGGAGATTCCTGGTTTAACCACCTTTTACTCTAACCCAATCACAGAATGCCTTGTATTCAGTATATATTGTAACAAAAACAAATAGGGCTCTTGTGGAGGGAGAAGTGAGATGCTAGATTTCTCCAGTCATCTAGGATGGCAACCTGAGAGATTGGTTCCTCCTCTACAGGAAACACACTTGAACAGAGTTTTTTTTTAAAAATCCCTCAGTTTTCGCTGGTTATTGCGGAGGCCGCGGGTCCCCATCTGTGCAGCTCTGCCAATGGCATCGCTCCATGTGGACTTGCTACTACAGGGGGTTCCCTTTATTGCAGGAACTCCTTTTTTTTTTTTCTGTAATCTCTCAGAGAAGTCAGTCTGAGCTGCAGAAGCTCACAGCTCAGGAAGTGTCCAGAATAAAAAAAAGCATGTTTGGCATGGGTTTCACCGATGACTTTCGACCATTCATAACATGTCACCACCTTATGAGCCTCTGTTTTGAGTCTGCTGCTGCTCATAGGTGAGCAGCTACTGCTGGGCTGTCTGAAGTCAAGAATGGAAAAGGTCTACTGTTCCTTTTTTATACTGGTAATGAAAGCTGACCTAAAAGCTAAGTTATAAATTTGTAAACCTACAAGACTCTATAATCCTTAAACGTTGCGGTGAACAGTCTATTGTGGTCTTCAGATTGTTGTACCAGTAGTGCACTGGGAGAATTGGTTTCCTTGCAATGTACATCAGAATGACAATTCTTCCTCCCAGCATGCACTAGTCTGCTTTTGCTGTGGTCGTTTGGGCTGCATGTAAAAGCTCTTAAGCTCTTCCATTTTAGCATGGCAGTTCTGCACTGCATTTTATCGCTTACCCAGGCTGTATCAGACCAATGCATTATAAGCATTCTATTAATCGCCTGCATTTTTATTTTTTTTTTATTTTTGCAGGAAGAACATTGTGCCTCATGAGTACAGGCGTCACTTCCCAATTCAGATGAAGGATCACAACTCTCATGATGTGTTACTTCTCTGCACATCCTGCCATGCAGTTTCCAGCTACTATGACAACAATTTGAAACAACAACTAGCAGTGGAGTTTTGTGCTCCTATTGGTTGTGAGGAAGGGGTGCGCATGCTGGAAGATGCCACAAGAAGGCAAGTGCGTTCAGCGGCGAGAGCCCTGCTCAATGCTTCAAGACTGCCAGAACAACGCAAAGAGGAGCTCTTGGCGGAGATCAAAGGATTTTATTGTATAGAGACGGTCACTGAAGAAACTCTCAAAGAAGCTGCAAATTTGGAGACCAGGTAAGAGCAGATGCCATTGTACATACAGGGGGAATTGTTCAACAGCCACTGGAGACATATGTACATTCTCTAGTTGTAAGGTTTGCAAAAATTAGGTTTATATTTAGGTTTTTCTTAATGTGCAAAATATTGCACAACTTAAATGTGAAAATTGGGTTCTACATTGTAACTGTACTGGATAGTGTGACCTTTAATTAATGGCCTACCAATTAAAGGTATTTGACTTCAATGCCAAATGCTGATGAGATCTGTGCCTAGACAATGTAATTAAAGGTGAGGCAGATGGTGGTTAATAGTGGAACGTAGAGGACTAGCATACTACCTTCGTGTGAAAAAAGTACACTCTTTGAATTCCACTGTTTTGCATATCAAGACATAATAAAAAATCATCTGGTCCTTGGCAGGCCTTAGAATTGTGTAAAGTACAACCTAAATGCTCTGATGCCTAGCCTGATACTTCTGGTATCAGGAAGCCAGGCAGTGAGTCATTGGCTAGAAAGCCAGCTCCCTGCTTTCCTGTCACCTAGTGACTAGAAGCATGGAGACGGCTTCCCTGCTAATTGGGAAGCCAAGTAGCGAGTCGTTACACGCTGCCCCGCTTCCTTAGTGGGACTTCCAGTATCGATATTTGGTTTCAGCGAGTACCGAAAACTGTATCGGTGCATCCCTAGTACTGTATATATTTTTTTGACTCTACTGTATATGGAACATGCTGCATTATAAGGTTACAGATTGTATGAATGGGACTCCTGTTTTGAGAGAAGTTAGGGCTGTCCTCCTGAAGATACTAGTTGCTAAACAGTCTCTGGCTTTGCTTTTAGATTTGTAACAAGCATGCCGAGTATCAGGAAAGTATGACTTCTGATCAGTAATTCAAACTGACAGCCAGGCCACTAGCATCTTCATGACAGATACTTTCAGTGCTCATACACTGAAAGTATCAGGTGCCCAACAGATATGGCATAGGTTTGTTTTCCAGCACCCTACATTTAGTAATCTGCTAAAGAAAAGGGGGCTTGTGGAACATATGCAAGATTCCCTTTTAGCTCCAATCCTGAAGATGCTTGTTTTGTACTTCTCCTGGCAAGGACACCCTGTTTTATGTAGCAGAATACATGTCCAACAGTGTGTTTTGACATCTGTGCCTACTGGTCTTAAAGGAAACTGGTTACAAACCCAGCAGTTTAGTGTGTGTGCGTGTCCAGGTAAACTGGTTACATGCGTATATGGAAGCAGTCTTTTATCTGCTAAAGGACTTGTGTAGCTGTCCATCCAGTCCTAAGATTTGCACAGCCATGTGAACAACACTAGTTAAAACTGAGCAGTGTCTGGGCAGTGAATAGGAAATGGCAGACTGATGAGGTCATCCCTCTGCCTTTATCATCTCTATCTAATCTATCTAATCTATCATTAGTGAGAAACTAATTTGCTTTTCCTTTTTGTTCCCTTTTTTTTTTTTTTTGCAGGATATTTAATGAAACGTATACCCCACATGGATTAAAAGTGGTGCAGTGCTTTGCAAGAGAAGGACTGAAATCTTTAATGGAGCTTGAGAAACGCTGGCGCCACCACTTCTTGGACACTATGCAGCCCAAATTTCTCCCCCAGCAGTGGTCGGTTGATCATAACCACCACAAACTTATCAAGAAGTATGGTGAAGATTTACCCATCAAGCTGGGCTAGGACTTGAATTAAAATGTCCTGACCATACTGACACTGTTATCTGAAGGGCTGCTAAGAATGCTAGAAGTGAACTTTTACTAGAACCGTTTACACTAGCTGCTGGCAATCATTGGTGCTGTAACTGCTGGAACACAACCTTCATTATGTGTAAATGGCTTGGATCATTTATTTAGCAGTACTGAAAATCGATGGACCGATGCCTTGTCCAATATCTTATCCCAGTTTTGTCGGGCTAAGCTTAAGTTATTTTTTTTTTAAACTCTTGCTGTAATTTAAAATATTTATTAACAATTTAATAATTTGGCCTTTAAAATGTGATAAATGTAAGTGTAACTTTACCACTGCTCCTGAGGTGCAGCTTGTGTCTTTAGCGCTACTTTATTTTGCCCCCGAAGTGAATTTTTCCAGCCTGCTGCTATCTGCAGCAATTGGAAGTGTTGAGCTGACTTGCTGTATATAATTAAATGTAGATGGCTAAGAGTTGCCAAAACTATACTTGCACTGTACACAGAATGCCTCCCCAGCCACTGTCTGTAGTAGTTTGTTAAACCCTACATTTACAATGATGGTCTTGCCAACAGTGCAAAGCATCTAAATGGTTTTTTACAGTACCTATTCTGCACTGCATTTGGCTGAACAGACAAGCTCACTATGGGCGGCTGCTTGTATTGGAGGGCTGAATAGTTCTGGAGACTGCAGCTTGATGCATATGAGGATCAGGCAACAGCATGTCTGTCATAAAAACCTTCTTATATCAAGCAGTTCAGCTTTTTTATTTTGTGCATGGGTTTCTGCAAACAATGCAATGCTAAGTCCGTGTACTAGCCAGTAGCATGGGCCAGCTTATAAATTTGCATAAATAGACTAAAAGTTCATGCACAGAGCCAAACATTGGTGGGAAAAATTAACACGTGTAGTCATAGTACCTGACATATTTTCATGTGTCTGTCTTTTCATGTGTCTGTCTTCTTCCATACCCTATGATGACCTCATTTCTTTTTCTATAGAAAGAACTTTCAATCTTTTGTACCATGTATTTATCTGAAGACTCCAGTGATGGGGTTATAATTATGAATTATAAATATGGCCTTTGTTTTATTCTCCTGCATGATGTGATGTGGAGAAGTCTGATCTTTATCTCCTAAATATCATTTAAAAAGCATAAACTGTTTAATATTAGCATTTTGTCCTCTGGTTTGTTTCAAGTAAGATGACCTATACCCTGACATGGAAATAAGTAGTCTCATTTTGTTATGTTATACGAACCTCAAATCATGTTCACATTGTACACATGTAACTACTGTGGTACCTTTTTAGCTTGTTCCCTCCTAATGCAGGGGTCCCAAACTCAATTTACTCAGGGGCAACTGGGCACATTTTTTAGTCTTGTGGGGGCCGCTACTATATATAGTACCCCACCGCATGTAATCGTATGATACAAATACCTGCAGTTACAAAAACAATCACTATCCCTGGATACACAATAGATTGATTCCTAACTGCATGTAATCCTTTCACATATGATTACATGTGGTGTACAGGCATTTACATGCAGCAGCTGTCACCCGATCGTTAAAAGAGAACTATGGGGTAAGTGGTTTTCCCCATAGTTCTCTTAAGGGTAACGGGAGGACATGTATTAGCATCCTCCTGTGACCCCAAAACTCAGTATATCGCGAGCTATAGCACGCGGTCTACTGAGACGGCCGCAGCCGGGACGGATCTCAACATTACGGTCTGGATGCACCCAGCTGCGTGAGGGACGGCTGGCTCTGGCTATCTAGAGGCAGAGCCAGCTGTGCCCGCCCCTCCCCCGTCCGTTCCGCCAGTCAGTGCTTGAACTCCTGAAGTGACTGACAGTCTCAGATCTCTGCAGGGAGATGATCGAGCGACTGTATGTGTTCGCTCGCTTCCCGATCAATATAGCAGACGTGTCAGTTTCATTGTCACACGTCGGCTCCAGCTATGAGGATGAGTGGGATGAGTGATTTTTTTCACTCTCCTCATAGTTCTCCGTTCACTTGAATGGGTGACAGTTGCTGCATGCAAATGCCAGATTAGGGATCCCTGTGCAGGAAAACAAGTTTATGACACAGGAATCACCAATCACACCTGAAATATAAGTGTGGATGTGGCCTCATACACTCGCATAGAGAAATACACCCCCCCACTAATACAGTCCCCTCCCCCCCACACAAATACACTAATACACT